CCCTCCCTCCCTTTCTCCCTCCCTCCCTTCCTATTTCCTTAAGGCAGTACTGAGTACATATGTGTGTGTAGATATTTGTGAATGAACACAGCCTGAAGAATTTCGACAGCAGTACCTTTCCAGTGCACAGAACACCTCTGAAATATTCCAGTTCTGTCAGTGCTCACCACCAGCCACTAAATGTAAGTCCTGGGACCCCAACCCTTAGTGTGGAGCTCAGCGCTGTGGCCGGCAGGACTGTTTCTTGGCATTCATCATTTTTACTGTTTGTTTTCTGACACGGTGTTTTTTCCTGAGTCTACTGTTTTGTTTTGTTTTAAGAAACATTTTTAAAAGTGTTTTTTTAAACACACGGGGAGAGAGATAGAAGTTTCAGAAGTAACCCATGGAGTCCCAGGGTCCATTTCTGGAGCATGATTTGTCCTCTGTCCTTTCTGGGCTCCTCTGGATGTGCCTCTGTGGTCACCCTGCTAACACTGGAGTGACCTTCTGGTGAAACAGGCAGGGTAGCAATCGGACTGAGGGTTCTCTGTGAGTCGGAGGCTAGCCTGATCTGCTGCCAAGTTCCAGGCCAATAAGGAACACCACTGAGACCCTGTCCTTTAGCATTGTCGAAGGTCACTGCTAACTCCCTGTCTGTATAACAAAACACAGTTGGCCATGCAATAGGTAGAACTGTGTGGAGTTGGATTTCCAACCTCCCACAAAGAGGAGTTGTGTTTCAGTAAAAAAAAAAAAAAGATCTTGGGAGCACAGTACTTTTTTTAAATGTTTCTTTTGAAGCTCAGCTTTAAGGTTTGTTTTTTATAAAGTATGTTTATGTGTGAGAGTGTGCACCTGAGCAGCGCCCTCAGTGCTGGAGTTACAAGCGGCTGTGCTGCCTCAAGTGGGTGCTGGGAATCGAAGAACACTCTTAGCTGTCAGTTGTCTCTCCAGCTCCTCGAAGGCCATTTTAAAAAATGTTTTATTACTTAATGTGCTTGGTTGTTTTGCTTGTGTATCTGTGCACCAGGTACATGCAGTACCCTATAAGGCCAGCAGAGGGCATCATCAGATTCTCCTGGAACTGGAGTTACAGATGGCTGTGAGCAGCCTTGCAGGTGGAAGGAATCAAACCCAGGTCTCCTGGAAAAGCAGCCAGTGCTCTTAACCCCTGAGCCATCTCTCCAAGCTCCTAAAGGTCATTAAAAAATTAATAAAGACAACTTTAGAAAAAAATTTAAGAAAAAAATTCTTATTAAATAAATATGGTGATTAAATCAAAGAAAGGACATTGTGCCATGTTCCACTACTCTGCATATACATTATTTTCCTCATATTTCTGCATTCAAAGGGGGGGTGAAATATCAGTTTAAAGGGACACTAATCATGTAAATATTAATTTAAATTTTTTTTGTGTGTGTGTATACATGGCTTACCAGCATGTATGTCTGTGCACCAAATGCATGCTTAGTACCAGCAGCGGTCAGAACATGGCATCAGATCTGGGCCTGGAGTTAGATGGTTGTGAGCTGCCGTGTGGGTGCTGGGAACTGAGCTCAGGTCCTCAGGAAGAGCAGCCAGGGATCTCATCCAGCCAGCCATCTCTCCAGTTGATGGAAGTCTTCAGTGGCAGCTAAATTTTTTCTCATTTTCCCAATAACTTATTTTCCCATTTTTCTGTTGTTTGCTTTTGTTTTTTGAGACACTGTCCTAGAAGTCCAGAGAGGTCTCAGACTCACTGTGCAGTCGAGGCTGGCCTTGAACGTGTGACCCACCTTCCTCCTCCTAAGTGGTAGAATTACAGGCCCTGGCCACCACGCGCAGCTTGTTCATTATTGTCTTCACTGTGTTGCCCTTGACAGGACTAGACTGGCTTCACACTCTCATTAAGCCTCCTGTCTTCGCATCCCAGATTCTGGGATCATAGGCATGTCACCAGAAGTGGCCCAATTCCCATCTTAAAACTGCATCTTGAGGTTTTTAAAACAGATAAGATGTAGCCAGACCTGTTGATAATTCCCAACCCTGTAACCTCAGCTACTCAGGCGGCATTTCCAAAGCCCATCAGAGGAAATTTGGTAGACTGTCTGAAATGTGTAAAAGGGCCAAGGATGTAGCTCCATGGTAGAAGGCTTGCCTAGTGTGTGTGGAGCCCTAGGTCCACTCCCGAGTCCTGAGCAAACAATGCATGGAGTCCTGGTATAAACCAGCACTGCTGAGGTAGAGACAGGAAGATCGGGAGTTCAAGGTAATCTTTGTTGATACAGTGAGTTCAAGGCCAGCCTGGGGTGCCTAAGACCCTTTCTCAGAAAAGATTACACAGGATTCTGTGGTCCTCCCTTTGCAAGGCAAGACCATCTCTGTAAAAAGATAGGCATGATGCATGGTCCAGGAACGTAGGGATTGTTAGCGACTGGCCATCTGTCTCTGTCTTCCCTTTCTTTCTTTCCATTTTTTTTCTTTCTTTCCATCTTCCTTTCTTCCTTCCTTCTTTCTTTCTTTCTTTCTTTCTTTCTTTCTTTCTTTCTTTCTTTCTCTCTTTCTTTCTTTTTTTGTTCTTTTTTTTCAAGACAGGGTTTCTCTGTAGCTTTGGAGCCTGTCCTGGAACTGACTCCATAGACCAGGCTAGCCTTGAACTCACAGAGATCTGCCAGCCTCCGCCTCCCAAAAGCTGGGATTCAAAGTGTGCACCACCATGCCCGGGGTGTGTGTGTGGGAACCTGTTTTGTTTGTTTGTTTGTTTGTTTGTTTTCCGATGGGAATCCTTTCCTTGCTCCAGCGAGAACAGAGTGTCAACTTGTCACTCCCCTGTGATTCTCTCTAGGGCCATTGAATGGGAGACTCATGCACTGACCCCTGGCTTCTAGGGCGTGGAGGTGAGAGGGCAGACACAGGATGTTAGAGGGAAGGGGACCATCCTCTGGTCCAGGGAAGCCTTAGGCGGAGGTCTTTACTATGTAACTCGGACTCCAGCCAACAGAGCATTCACACGCCCTACCTCTCTCTCTGAACTCTCTTTATGCTTTTAGGAGCCAGGAATCTAAATGAGATGGAGTTGCTTCAGGAGGTAGGATGGAGGTACCTGCCGCCCGAGGAGTTTTTCTGCTCACGAATCTGGCACCAAGTTACAAGGGAGTTAATGCAGGGTCGAGACTGCATGGGGAAAGCTGGAGAAACTGGCTCTCAGTTAGGGAAACAGGATGGTGTCCAGTGTGAAGAAGCCGGCTTCAGTAAACATCCCAGTTGGAATTCGCGGCTTCAGCTCCACTGCAGAATAAATGGTGGTGAAGATCCTTCTAAAAAGGGGGTGAGTGGGGAAGACGCTAGCTGGGACTGTCATCTCAGGGTGAATGGGCAAACCCACGTGGGAGGGAGGCGGTACAAATGTGAGAAGTGTGGCTACTCCTTCTGCCGCCTGTCGGGTCTTCAAGCTCACCAAGTAAGGCACACGGGAGAGAAGCCATACAAATGTGAGGAGTGTGGGAAGGGCTTCACTCGGGCCTCGACGCTTCTGGACCATCAGCGAGGCCACACTGGAAACAAGCCCTATCAGTGCGATGCTTGTTGGAAGAGCTTCTGTCACAGCTCAGAATTTAACAATCACGTGAGAGTCCACACGGGCGAAAAGCCCTATATATGTGAGGAGTGTGGGAAAGGCTTCAGCCAGGCCTCACACCTCCTGGCCCACCAGAGAGGCCACACTGGTGAGAAACCCTACAAATGTAGCACGTGTGGGAAGGGCTTCAGTCGGAGTTCAGATCTGAACGTTCACTGTAGAATCCATACCGGAGAGAAACCATACAAATGCGAGACGTGTGGCAAAGCCTTCAGTCGCGTCTCAATTCTCCAAGTCCATCAGAGGGTTCACAGCGAAGAGAAACCATACCAGTGTGCAGAGTGTGGAAAGGGCTTCACGGTAGAGTCACACCTCCAAGCCCACCAGAGGTCCCACACCGGAGAAAGACCCTATCAGTGCGAGGAGTGCGGGAAAGGCTTCTGTCGGGCCTCCAATTTTCTAGCTCATCGCGGAGTCCACACAGGAGAAAAACCGTACCAATGCGACGTGTGTGGCAAACGCTTCCGGCAGAGGTCCTACCTCCACGACCACCACAGGATCCACACTGGCGAGAAACCGTACAAGTGTGAGGCCTGCGGGAAAGGGTTCAGTTGGAGCTCCTACCTCAAAGCCCACCAGAGGGTTCACACTGGAGAGAAACCGTACAAGTGCGAGGCCTGCGGGAAAGGCTTCAGTTGGAGCTCCAGCCTCGTGATTCACCAGAGAGTCCATGCTGACGATGAGGATCACAGGGATTTCCCTGCACCAGAGGACACCCTCAGGAAGCACACTCTATAAGGTTTTATGATCTGATATTTCAGATGGAAGCCAAAACGTTCCAGTTCTTAGAACTGTTGTGGGAGACAGAGGAGCTGTATCATAAAAGGGTCAGTATTTCAACAGCAATTAGGAGACCACAGAGCAAAGAAGCCTGTATGTTGGAGCCATGCAGACTTCATTCAGAACCTTGACCTTTAACACACTGTGACAGTAACCACAGAAAGGTTGAGTGTCAACCGGAGGTTGCTAAATATCCTAGAACAGAAGAGACCAGATCTGTTTGATAGGAGCAACATTCCTTAAGCTGCTGGTGGCCACCCCACGTGGGGCTGCATAACCGAATGTGGTGGCCACAAGGTGTTTCTAAAAACACTACACGCTTTCTACTTACCCAGTGGCCAAAACCTCAGAATTCAACAGTTAATAAATCCGAGGGGCTTCTGGCAGCTCTTACCCAAGCCGCGACTGTGTGACTTTGCTGTAGCCTTCCCTGCGCTCACAGCGCGAACCCTGGCACCTCACTGTCCCTCTGCTCCAGCCGACATTGCTCTGAATGGCAGTGCTTTCTGCTGTGCGCACATTTTCTGCTTGCACAGAAGCATAATCGTTTACTTACACTATTTCCCTCTTTTCACCCCTCGCACTTAAGTGTCAGATGAGTTTAGGGGCAGATTGTGCTGTGTCCCAGCCAGTATGGTTTTAAACAGCCGCGTAGCTCCTCTTAACAGAAAGTGGGCCGCAGTGTTACTATGCAAATCTGCTTTCACCATTAATAAAGTATCACTTGTTGAAATTGTTCTGAAATACATTTCTTCCAGTAAACATTTGAGATGTCCATTTACATTGTGTGCTTCTATAGGCAAACAATGCCAGAGACACCTCCTGCCTTCAGTAACTCTTAAGTCAGCTTTGAGAAGAGCAGTCATTTGAAATTTTTTATTCAATCTATCTCTGAATAAAGTTTCTGTAAAATTGTTCCTAGGAGGCTTGAAGGACATTTCAGTTATACACACAGGTCATTTTCCCAACCCCGTGGAACCTGTGTACCAATGTCTATCAAACTGAAGGGCTTTGTACATTGGTGGCTTCAGCAATCAGGGGGTTGTGGCCAGCGTGTCGGCACGCTTGTCCTTCACTGAAATATCTTTGTAGGCCGTCACACATGCACAGACCTCAATTTCATTGCTTCCTGAATTTTGACAAGTGTCTACACTTCTGTGGCCATCATCATCAGCTGTGTCTTTTTAGTCAACAGAAATTGACTAAATTCCCAGTCGGCCCCACCTTCAGTCCAAGAAGCTTTCCGGCTTCTGAGCTGCAGATGCAAATCACAGCTGTCCTCAGGGCTCACATAGGTGCAGGGTGTTGATGTAGAGTCTGACCTCTCAGTTTATTCAGAAAATATTTGACAAAACTCAGCATTCATTCAAGATTAAAAAAATACACGGTGAGGTAAGAGGTAAATATGGAGTTTCAATAAAATGATTTTAATGGAAATATAGACAGTAAGGCTAACTTTGTTATGTCATGGTAGACTTGGCAGATGTTTATTGTGGGGTGGCTCCCACCTAGACATTTAAGTTTAGCATCCTTGCTGAATTCTTCTCCCTCTTTTGTCCTTGATGATTTCTGTCCTGTCTGTATTGTTCATTTTTTTTTCAAAAATGTCATAAATGAAACCCTATCCTGTGTGGCCTGTTGCATCTAGCTTCTTTCACTTGTATAATTTTTGTTTGTTTTTTCAAGACAGGGTTTCTTTGTGTAATAGTCTAACTGTGATGGCGGAAGATACAAAACAATCCCACACTAGTTCAGAATTATGTATAATAAAGGGTTATTTATTTAGGGGAAACTTACAGATCATTGTCCTAGATCACAATCCTCTGCATGAACAGGGAACAGGAACAGAGTCTAGCAGCCGGAAATGAGAGCTGGAAGTCAGAGAACCAGTGCAGACTTTACAGCTGCAGTTATAGTCTGAGCCCACACCCAAGTGGGCTGGTATCTTTAAGGCTATTGGCTGAAGGAGCAGAAGGAGCTTCCACAGCACTAGCAGTCCTGGAACTAACTCTGTAGACCAGGCTGGGCTTGAACTCACAGAGATCTGTCTGCCTCTGCCTCCTGGGTGCTGGGATTAAAGGCGTGCACCACCACTGCCCAGCTACTTGTATAATTCTTTAATTCATCCATTATGTATGGATTCTGTGGTGAGGGGGGTGCTTAATAGGGATTGAACCCATGGCTTCATGCATAAGCAAGTGTTTTACCACCACCTTCAGTCTCTAGGCCTTGGACATTCCTTTTCATTGCTGAGTAGTATTCCTCGTATGGATAGACCACATTTCTTTAGGTTTCCAGGTATGGGGGGGGGCAGCTATAAACAATTGAAAACCATTTCCTTATGACTTAGGGTTTCCTTTGCCTTCAATCAGACCTAGAATTACTACTATGTTGGCGAGTGGTAAGAAGCATATTAAACACTGCTAAACCAGAACTTTTGAGCACAGCTGTGCACTCTGCATCCTCACCATCAGTGTGGGACAGTTAGGTTCTCTCACCAACACTTGGGGTGCTAACATTTTCTTTTGTTTTTGTGCCATTTTTTCTTTTTTTGCCTCTAACAAGCTTGCGGTTCTAGCTCATTTTGATTACATCCATTTCTTTTCTTTAAAAACATGTCCTTGTTTGCTATAGTCACATTCCTATTTGAATCGCTGAACCCATGTTTGAATCTTTGCCCATTTTTGAACTTTGGTTATTTCCAAGGGCTGGCAAGATGACCCAGCAGGTAAAGGCCCCTACTGCCCAGCCTGACAAGGGAGTTGGATCCCAGGACTCTCATGGTGCAAGGAGAGAATTTTCTCCTGGAAGTTGCCCTATGACTTCCTCGCTTGTGCTGTAGCACGCACATGTTCAACACATGCATGAACACACCAATAGATAAATAGGGTTTATTTTGTATATTTTTAGTTTTAAAAAAGATTTTATTTGTATAGATGCCTTGCCTGCGTTATGTCTGTGCATCACGTACATTCATACAGAGCTCGAGGCGGCCAGAAGGCGACGGGGTCCTCTGGAACCGGAACTGGAGTTATATACTTTCAAGGTACACATATTACCATGTAAAGATATTTTACCCAGGACTTTCTTAGAGAGTATAAGGAATGAAAATCAAGAGGGAAATTCGATGCAGGAGGGCGGTCCTCCGCTAGCCTTCTGGGACTGCGTCTGTGCCTCTGCATCCTCACTTCCGTTACCACCGAGCCGGCGCCACAGTTTCTCCAGGCGGAATTATGGGAACTCGTCAGCTTCAGATTGGCTTGTTAGCCATCTGTTCCCCTGGGTTTGAGTTATTTTAGCCAGGGACCTCTAGAATATCCCCTAGATGCTTTTGAGATCGACAGTTCTCACAAACATTTGGGGAGACAAGGAAGGAAGGAGTGAAGTTTGAAAGGTAAGGAGCCGCGGCATTCCGTGGGACGGGGCGTATCTGGGTCTGCGGGGCCCTCGGTGCAAGCTGCTTCAGTTGCCCCTCTCCCCATCTGCAGCCCCCTTCCCTGCCCGCAGCCCCCTTCTCCCTGCTCGTTGCCCCCCTCTCTGCCTGCATCTCTCTTTTCCCCGCCCGCAGCCCCTTCTCCCGGCCTAAAGCCTTCCTTTCCCGCCCGCAGCCCCCCTCTCTCTGCCAGCAGCTCCCTCTCCCCACCCGCGGCCCCCCTCCCTGTCCGCAGCTCCCCTCTCCCTACCTGCAGCCTCCTCTCCACACCCGCAGCCACCTTCTCCACACCCGCGGCCCCCCTCCCTGCCCGCAGCCCCCTCCTTCCTCCCCTCCCCCCTTCCCCGCCCGCAGCCACTCCCTCCCCGCCTGCAGCCCCCTCTCCTCACCCGCAGTTCCCCTACCCGCCCTCAACCGGCCTCAACCCCCCTCTCCCCGCCCGCAGCCTACCGCCCTGCCTGCAGGCCCCCTCCGCCTGCAGCCCCCTCTTCCTGCCTGTAAACCCCCTCCCCACCTGCAGCCCCCCTCTCCCCGCCTGTAGCCCCCTTTCCCCGCCTGCAGCTCCATCTCCCTGCCTACAGACCCCCTCCCCGCCCTCAGCCTTCTCTCCCTACCTGCACCCCCTCTCTCCTGCCCCGCAGCTGACTCTGCTTTTTCCACTCTAGCTGATCTCTCTGCATTTTCTGGCTGTTCTGCAAAAGAGAAGTTAGACCTTCCTAGTAGACTATGTAGAGGAAAAAAAAATGGATCGTAAAATGCTTAAAAACTGTCTGGCATGTGGGTGTCATGGAGACCATTGTAATATTCCAATTCACGGCTTCTGTGAGCCAGCAAGCTCTGGGCTGTCCCCACCTATGACCCTTACAGATAGCTGGCTGCTTGCCGCAGGTACTGGGGCACGAACCACGAGATGGAATTTTGTAATTTCACTATTTTCGTTTGCCCGCAGTCCTGACTTCCCAAAAAGCACCGTGCGGAGCCCCGGGTGAGTAAGACTGACTCTAGAGGGTTTGTGGGGGACTTACACTTGTACATGACTGTAATTAAACGTTAGTTTACGCAAAGGAAGTCACCGAGTAGGGAGAGTGGCCTCAGAAGCTAGGCTGTGTGAACCCACACCGACTGCTCAGTCTTTTTGGTCCAGGCTTCGGAGGAAACTGGCCAGTGTCATATAAAAATGGATTAGAACAGTCTCGCAGAGGTCTTGAGAGCAGGGTTTGTATGTTTGTGTGTGTGGACACTGCAGATCGACTCTGCTTCCCCAGGAGTAGGCCCCCCCCCCGCCTTTTCCCCATTTAACATTTATTTGTGGGGGGGCACACGAGTTGTGGTGTGCATGTGGGGATTAGAGGACTAGTTTGGGGAGATGCTGCTCACCTTCTGCCATGTGGGTCCTGGGGCTCAAACCCAATCTGATTTGGTGGCAAAGCATCTTTACCTACCGAGTCACCTTGTGGGTGTCTTGCCCAACTTGCCCAATTAGGTGAGGCTGACTGGCTGACCGACAAGCAGGGAAGATCATGCCATTAGCTGCTCTTCTCAGCACTGGCTTTACAAACCTGTGCCACTGGCACGGAACCCGGATCCCCATGCTTGCCCAGCAAGCTCTACCAATGAATCTATCTCCCCAGTTCCTCATGGTAGGATTTTCAAACAGCGTGTTTCGTCTCTTCCACTCTTCCCAAATAATGTTTACCGTGCAGACACGGAAATCTTGGAAAATACAGACTTATGTAAAGAAAAAATTGTTCCTTCTCTAGCCTGTGAATGGAACGGTGACTATTTTAGCATGGTTCTGTCAGGGTTTCTTGGGCAAGTTTTTCTTTAGTGGTGTCTGTGTTCCAGGGGACTGGCTGTCCCCTGCAGCAGCGGAGAAACTCACTCTGAACTGGCAGCCCTGGCCTCACCTGGGGAGCCCTGCCCTGCTCAAGCCCTGCCCACCTAACTGGATTCCTGCAGACATTTCTCTTTTCTTTCTTCTTCTTTTTTTTTATTTTTATTTTCCCATTGAGACAGGGTTTCTCTGTGTATGTCTAGCTGTCCTGGAACTCACCTCCTGCCTCTGCCTCCTGAGTGCTGGGATTAAACAATAAATACTGTCAACAGTCATATCTTACTACAGAATCCCAAGGAGCAGAAGGCTCTGGTGTGTGTAGGGTCAAATTAGAATTCACAGAGCACTCATTCCCTGTGGGCTCTATAGTACTTCCTCCAAGAGGGGGAAGACCGACTTCCGGCCACTGTGGATTATTAGCTTTAGAGGTTATTCCATGGGTACTGCCATCACCATTACTACCAGCTGTGACTCTGACAATTTCTGATCATTAAAGCGAGTTCCAGGACAGTCAGGACTGTTACACAGAGAAACCCTGCACCAAAAAAAAAAATTTTTTTTTTTGTAATTTAAAACTTAGAGAGCTGGAGAGATGGCTCAGCAGTTAAGAGCATTGCCTACTCTTTCAAAGGTCCTAAGTTCAATTCCCAGCAACCACATGGTGGCTCACAACCATCTGAAATAAGATCTGATGCCCTCTTCTGGCCTGCAGGCAGACACACAGACAGAATATTGTATACATAATAAATAAATAAATATTTTTTAAAAATTGCAAAAATTAGTATAAGGAAATCTAATGTTGTGGTTGGGCACACTGTTCTGAGATGTTTTCCTGAGAGAAGTACGTGTCATATGTGGGAGGAACATGCACCTGACTGTCTGACAAGGGTCAGCTGTGTGGTCAGCACGCTGGCTCTGACCTCTGACCTCTCTCTCTTCCTCTTTCTGCCTTCTTAGGCTCTGCACCTCCTGGAAGGAGCACTAAATGATGAACACTCACAAGGTAAGGAGAGCTTGCCATTTCCGCCCTCAGAGTGCTGAGGTAATCCTCAGACAAGATGGTGCAGGGGTCACAGTGCTTGCCTCCAAGCCTGGAGACCTGAGATTGATCCCCAGGACTCCCATGGTGGAAGCAGAGAACCAGCTTCCACGAGTCACACTCTTTCAAAAAGCACTTTCACGCACTCCTGTGTGACGCCGCACATGGGCGCACTCACACACTCATAAAGAATAATGTGATTTTAAAAATAGGATGTATGAAAGCATTTGAGGTGAGGTCCTTAGGATGTGCCAGGTGCCCATTTGTCCCGATACGTTTAACTCCTCCCTGCCTTTTCAGGGCCATTGTGTCTCCAATGGACGTTGGTATTGATCCTTTTCCTGGGGAGACACAAACAAACATCTTTTCACCCTGAGTAGGGAATCCATGACAGAATCAAGTAACAATCCCACCCAAGTCCAAGTAGGTGAGTCAGTGAGTTTCTTGGGGTTAGCCCCAGGACTGTGACCCTCACTCACCTGGAACTGCAGACACCTCAGGAGGTAGAGGAGTCCCTTCCGGGGAAACTCTGCTGATCTGAGTGCCCTCAGCAATCTTTACTACTCACCCTGTGACCAGAGGGGCTTTGTGCATCTCTCCAGTTTCAAGGACTTCCTGAGACTTTTGAGTTGTTTATTTCCGGAATCTCAAGAAACCTTGTTTTAGAACTCCCTGAGTCTTTCTGAGCTTCCCCCAGGACAGATGCTGCTAAAGGTGCTAACAGTGGTTGGTTGTAAGATTGAGGTCACTTGTACTTGTTGTAGGAGGTGGTGACATTCAAGGATGTGGCTGTGGCCTTCACTGAGGAGGAACTGAAGCTGCTGGATGCCTCCCAGAGGAAGCTGTACCAAGAGGTGATGGTGGAGAATTTTAGAAACCTGCTCTCAGTGGGTGAGAACGGATGCACTCTAGCACATATCTTTGTGGCCTTGGAGTTGGGAGGAAGCTTTGGGGCTCTCAGAATGGTTCTCTGAATTTGCTCATTCCTGTGGTGCCTGTGGAAGCCAGTAGAGGGCGTTGGGCCCTTTGAAACTGAAGTCGCAGATGGTTGTGAGCCACCATGTGGGTGTTGAGACCTGACCCTGAGTCCTTTGGAAGAGCAATCAGTGCTCTTAACAACCCAGTCATCTCTCTAGCCCCACATTTTATTATTTAAAAAAATTATTACATCTTGTTCTGTGTATGTGTACATGAGTGTGGGTACCCTCCTAGGCTAGAAGAGGGCACCAGCAGTTATGGGTGGTTGTGAGGTACGGAATGGTGGGTGCTGGAAACTGAACTTGGGGTCCTCTGATAGAGCAGCAAGTGCTCTTAACTGCTGGCCCATCTCTCCAGCTCCTCTACTGATGATTTCTTATATGTGTGTGTGTGTGTGTGTGTGTGTGAGAGAGAGAGAGAGAGAGAGAGAGAGAGAGAGAGGCACCTTGGTGTGACAGTCTTCAGAGGCCAGAAAAGGGAACTGAATCCCCTGGAGCTGGAGTTAGGCAGGTGTGGGTGCTGGAAATCAAACTCTGGTCCTTTGGAAGAGCAACAAGTGGTCTTAACCACTGGGCCATCTCTCCAGCACCTGAACTGGCAATAATGAAATAAAAAACACTTGCCTTTCTCAGAGAAAATGACACATGTTGTATGGAAAGGTGGCCAGGTGTGTGAGTCGGTGTAGAGCCAGTGAGGAGGGAGCAGAAGTGACGGGAGCTTAAAGGTCGCTCAAATGTTGTTTTTGCAGTATATGTTAATGATGGGAGGGTCATAGAATAAATGGTATTTCTTCACTGGGCTTTTGTGCAGAAGTTTCCAAAGACACTATTTTCATTGTTTTGACGACTCAGTTGCTACGGAAGCTCCCACTGCAGTTTTGCTCTAGCACGCCCTTTTGACACCTGTGATTTTGCATGTCTGCAGAGCACCAGCTTTTCAAATGAGGTGAACCACACAGAGGAGTGAAGCCTCTAATGAAGAGGGCAGCAAAGAGGGAGAGAAATTTAGGCGAAGTCGTACGTGACTCATCCACAGGACGTGCTGGTCACTGTCCCTGTTGTCGCTGTCATGCTGTCAGAATGTCCAAACCTGGTCCAAGGTCATTGCGACATTCTTGTGGAATCCCTAGCCTCGTTCTGCTGTCTCAGGAGTGTGGGCTCGTACAGGCTGACTCGAGCACGTCTTAAAGGACTTGTAGTTCTGTAAAGATGGCCAGCCTGAGTAAGAGTTCTCTGTGACGTGGTTTGAGCAGTTGGAGCTTCACTTCATGTTCACTTCAATGTGGCTTTAGCTGCTACCACCCCCGGCACTGGCATCAAACTTCGGGCCTTGTGCACACCAGATAAGCGGTCTACCCTTGAGTTCTGTTGTCATCTTGGAAAGTGTGTCCCATAAGAATTCCTATGATTAGTTCTTACGCTTTATCCACAGGAAAAATAAAATTCTGTCTCCTTATTCCTCATGTTGGAGAAGGAAGTCTAAGAAAGTAGCCAGAGTGAACTTTGCCTTTAAGAGGTTTGCCCAGCTACATTCCATTAGCTTCTTCCAGAGTTTACATCTACAGTAAGAAATTAATATTTCATTGTTAGCCCAACAAATGTATGGGGGAAATTAAATATATAATACATACTGAAATCTATAATAAATTAGATATAACACACACATACATGCATCTCCAGTAGATGTTTAGTGATGTCATTACTGCTTGTAGTGGTTCTCTGGTAGTTTGTCTCCTATTTCTTCTGTTTATCACAAGCTATTTTAGTTTCAAATTCCCTGAAACACTGCATTTATCAAGTTGGAAGACTTTTGTTTGAGAACAGGGTCTCACTTTGTAGCCCTGGTAGGCTGGAACTCTCTCTGTAGACCAGGCTGACCTCAAACGTGCAGGGATCCGCCTGCCTCTGCCTCCCGAGTGCTGGGGATCAAAAGTGTGCACCACCACCACCACCACCACCACCACCACGCTTAGATAACTCCAAAGCTCTGTTTTCCTTGTTTCCACAATGATGATGACAGTCCTCGCTGCCTCTGAATTTGGACTCCTGAGAAAGTGAAAACAAAGATGGACCAGATGCCTCAGCGAGAGCTGGGGGATGGCTCTTTCATGCTCCCACTGGCTTTGGTGTGTCCTTCAGCCTTTGATTGAATCCTCGGCTCTCCCACCATGTGCCCCACCCCAGACAAAGCCTTGCAAGTTTTCAGCCAAACTTGGATTCAGCTCTCTTTCATATATTTACTTTAAAATGCCCTTTGCTTCCATGACTTGGGTTTGGAGTGAACCAAGGAGCCACCTGTACATACTTTGCCAGAACACATGCCAGGCAGGAATCTAGGTAGTGGCTGGAAAACTAAGCAGCATAAAATGTTTCTTCTTATTGGCACTGTCATGTGGTAGGAAAGATACATAATTTTAAAAAGAAAAAAATTTCAGAAAGTATGTTAGTAATTGATTTGAATGACTTTTATTAGTTCTCTCTTTTAAAATATGATTTATTGTTTTATCTGTATGCGTTTTTGCCTACATGCATTTATGTTTACCATATATATGCTCAGTGCTCACGGAGGCCAGAAGAGAGGGTCAGATGGCCTACGACTGGAGTTACGGACAGCTGTGAGCTGCCGTGGATGAACCCAGGTCCTCTAGAAGAGTGGCCAGTGCTCTTAACTGCTGAGCCATCTCTCCAGCCCTGGTTTTATTAGCTCTTAATAGTTGGGAACTCAGCAGACTATATCTTGATTTCTGTCAGTATTTAAAGCAGAGAACTTCATTAGTAAGAAAAAAGAGAAGCTGAAGAATCCTCTTGAATTGCATTATAGTCTAGTATTGTGTCCTGAGTGTGAAGCCCTAAAGTGTAAACAGTTTCACTTGTCTTTATCTCTGTCTTTACAGGAATTAACCGTCAAAGCGAGTTGAGGGCTGTCCAAGATGGAAGGTCACGTGAGGCCCTTTCCTGCTGGCAAATCTGGCAGCGGGTCATGGACGACTTAACCAGGTGTCAGGACTCCATGGTGACCAGCACGCAGTTACAGGATGACTCCCCCTGCCGGGTCCAGCGATGGTCGTCTGCTCACGTTTCTGAGGATGAAAACTATACCCTGAGTCGTAAGGCAAAGGTTCCCGCTGATACTGGAAGGCTCCCACTTCCAATGTCGAGAACCCAGGGTTCTTGGCAGAAAATTTTCTTGACTGAGCCACAGAGTTCCAAGAATGGCTACCAAATGATTTCCACAAGAAGTGAACGGGGTCAGAATAAACAGGATATGGACTCTGTAGGTCGGATTTCACGTTCCCTCAGTGATCACAGAGTACACAAAAGTAAAGATGGTCACAGCCCCAGTGGTTGTGTGAGAGAGAACATAAAGGCGGCAACCTTTGATCAGAATAGAGCCATTCGTGCTGGACAGAAAAATGACCGGTGCAAAGAAGCTGCTGCTGGTCACGCCAGCTTTGACCGTCACCAACGGTCAGACCGGGGAGAGAGGTCTTGCACATGTGTGGAATGTAGGAAAGGTTTCCGTTATAACGCAGATGCTTGGGTTCGTCAGGGAGGTCACACGGGAGAAAGACATCAGGGACTTGGCCATGATCCACATCCACACATCCCGCAGGAGGTTCCTGCCGCTGCGAAATCATACGAATGTGAGCGATGCGGAAAATTCTTCCGCTGTAGATCTGCACTTAATGTTCATTTTAAAGTCCACACCAGGGAGAGACCGTATGTTTGTGATGCTTGTGGGAGCGCCTTCAGCCAGGCCTCCCACCTTCAGGACCATCAGAGACTCCACACCGGGGAGAAGCCATTCAAATGTGACGCGTGCGGCAAGAGCTTCAGTCGGAATTCACATCTTCGGTCCCATCAGAGAGTACACACCGGTGAGAAACCGTACAAATGCGAGGAGTGCGGGAAGAGCTTCATCTGTAGCTCAAATCTTTACATTCATCAGAGAGTCCACACCGGAGAAAAGCCCTATAAGTGTGTGGACTGCGGGAAGGAGTTTAGTCGCCCTTCGAGTCTCCAGGCCCATCAGGGCATACACACCGGAGAGAAATCCTATGTTTGTACTGTGTGCGGGAAAGGCTACACCCTGAATTCAAATCTTCAAGTCCATCTGCGCGTCCACACTGGAGAAAAGCCATACAAATGTGACGTGTGTGGGAAAGTCTTCAGCCGTTCTTCACAACTACAGTCTCATCAGAGAGTTCACACAGGGGAGAAACCTTACAAGTGTGAGGTTTGCGGTAAGAGTTTTGGTTGGCGGTCAAATCTTTTAATTCATCACCGAATCCACAGCAGTGATAGGGCTTCTAAGAGCACGAGAGATGGCAAAAACATCAGGGAATCCGTTCAGGAAAAACATTCTGTAAAATAATGTTTTGAAATACTCGCGTCCTGTGCATTCTTTGTTTCTTTTCAATTACATTTTAAAGCAGTTTTAGACCCAGAGGTGGCTTAGTAGGAAGAGCACTTGTTGCCCTTGCAAAGGATCCAATTTCCCGAAACTCATGGTGGTTCACAACCATTTTTTTTTTTTTTTTGAGACAAGGTTTCTCTGTAGCTTTGGAACCTGTCCTGGAACTAGCTCTTGTAGACCAGGCTGGCCTCGAACTCACAGAGCTCCGCCTGCCTCTGCCTCCTGAGTGCTGGGATTAAAGGCATGTGTTACCGCCTCCCGGGGGTTCACAACCATTTTTAACCTTTGTTCCAAAAGATCCAAATACATACATGTAGGCAAAGAGTTCATACACATAAGTAAAACTTATCTCAAAGACAATTTAACATGTTTGGGGACACACACATGCCAGTGAAGGCATGCCATATAGCATATGTGTGGAGAGCGGAAGGCATCTTTTGGGAGCCGGTTCCCTTTTTCCACCATGTGGGTAACCAGGGATCAAACTTAGGATGTCAGACTTGGTGGTAAGCACCTTTGCCCACTGAATCATTTCACTGGCCTATTGTGTGAATTCTTTTAATTTTTCAAAAGAAAGCATAATTATTTTATTCAGGTTAGTGTTTCTACTCCTCATATCCTAGTGTTTCCAGGCACACTGTTAATTACCCTGAGAAGGCTTTGGTTACAACCCTGACCTCTTCGAGTGTCACAAGAACTTTGGGAAGGGTGAACTACCAGGGCATTTTGGAAGTGCCACAGTGTCTGTTATAAAAGGAAAAGGGCTGCTGGGTTGGCATAAACCTCATGCTGAGTACTGAAATTTTTATTGATTTATTTTTATTTTTTATTTTTAGCGAATTGGGGGATGTACTTTTGAACCTTGATGTTTCTGTTTGGAACAGGAGTCCTAACAGCCAAAATCTCTAAAAACCCTCTCTGGGCCTGGGGATGTGTCAGTGTTAGAATACTTTTCTAGCATGCCAGATCCTGGGTACAATCCCCGGTGTGGATGAAACAGAAAGCCACTCAGTGCTGTCAATTGCAGCATCCACGTGGTCTTGTTATGGTTAGTGTCTGTCCTTTCCCCCATCCTTGTTGTCAAGTTGGGCCCTGTCTTCTTGGATTTTGTGTTTTGTTTGCATTATGCTTTATAGATTCAATTATCTTTTCTGATGGTGAATTTTGTTAACCTGACAGTAACAAGATGCTCCATGCTGCGCCATGGATTCTTCGGCACAGTATGGAGTAGATGGGAAATGACCCAAGACTCATGTATGGGACACTTGATCCCAAGTTACTCAAACTTTGGAAATGGGGCCTCGAGGGCAGACCTTCGCTTCTGGTGTTGGCTTTCCTTCTCTACTTCTTGGACTAGTCACCAAGTGGGAGACTGCATTTATAGATGCCCAAGACAGAGCTGTTCCCAACACGCCTTTCGAACCACGATGACCTGATATCCCTTTAAAACTTGGCCGGTCCCTACCCCCCCCCCCAAAAAAAAAAAACCCCACAACCTCTCTTAATGTTATTTTTGTCGGGTATTTTGCTCCAGTGACCTCCAAAACAATACAAACTAGTTCAGGGAATGACCAACATCCTAATGGTCTACGATCTTTGTGAGACGGATAAAGTGATCGGAAGATGAAGGGACTTCTGGGAGCTGTAGTCCGAAAGCTCCCAGAGTTTCTTCCTTGCAGTGGGGGAATTCTCAAAACTCTTGTGGGAGGGCGGGCGCTTGTTCTCCCGATAGCTTCCGGGAAGTGTAGTTCAGGAACTAGAACTAGTCAAGCTGTGTCCACCCATGGAGAACAAGGCCGCCGTCCTTTTTCGGACGAGAGAGGCGAGTGAATCCCACATCCATCTCAGCCCCTTTCAAATCTTTTTAGCCTGCGAGACGGCGCTTCTGGAGACCGGAAGTGCAAAACCGGAAGTTCAATTCAATTCTCACACCCCACCCCCCCGCCTCTCAGCATCTCCCGTTGTTGCTAGGTTGCCGCGCAGCTAGGATCTAACGGGGACTTATTAGCCAGCCTCCTATTGTTTGGTCCCAGCCGTGTCTTCGGGCGTCCTCCTCCTGGGAGCTCCGTGACGAGAGCCATCCCTGGCTGTCGGAATGTGGGGCCCTTTCCCTCACTTCCCTCAGGAAAGTCTCCCCACGTCCTTTCCCTAACGCATCTCCAAGGAAGGAGGGACTTGTTACAGCCGTCACCGCCCCAGGTACTGCGCCAAAGGCGCTATCCTGTTGGGGTGTCCCTTCAGTTCATCGGGGTCCCTTGACCCGGGAAATTGGCCACCAGAAACATGATCACATTTAATCTGTTAAAAAGATTTTTTTTTTTTTTTTTAGTGCGTGT